ACTGAGCCCCGTGTTTTAGCCGGTGGCCGAAGGACAGGCAGACGCCGACAGCCACCTGAGCCGCTTCCCTGGCCAGAGTCCAGCCCCGGCCTCGCTTAACCGGGGCAGCCGTGTCGGTGTTTCTGTGCTGGGCGGGATGCCACCGCAGGGGAGGGCAGGGCAGGCTGGAGATGACAGCAACGGCAGGCAGAGCTCTCCTTTGCCATTTTTAACCCCCCTGACAGCTATAAACCACCATGCCAGAAGGTTCCCCACCAAGAAAAAAAAAAAAAAAGCCTCCCCCAAAGTTAAATGAGAGGGGGGACAGAGGAGGAGAGCTGGGAGGGGAAGAGAAAGACGATACCGAAGCAGGGAGCTATTTTAAACCCCGGGAGGAGACACAGCTCCCTGGCTCACCTAACTGGGAGGCGAGAGCTAAGTGGGAAGAGTTTCACCGCATGGTTTTATCCAATTAATTTCCTCCTGCTGTCATTTTGAGCCCGTGTGCAGTGTACTCCCCCCCCAACATATCAGCTGTCGAAGAGAGGAGAGCAAAGCTCTCCTGCCAAGAGCCCCCGCGACTCCAACTCGTTCTAACAAGCAGCAAAGACTTTGCCGAGGGCTTTCTCGCTCCCGGAACAAGACTGAAGCCTAAAGAGCCATGATGGAGAATAAATGATTAAAGGAAGAATAAGAAAGTAAGTAATAACGAGGAATAATAAAAGTGAGCTCTGCCTTGCCTGGTAAAGCGCACTGGAAGAGGATTGGGTTTGAGGAGTCCTTAAATTAAGGCAAGGAGGCTCAAGCATGCAAGGAGTAACCTTGAACAAGAAAAGACCCACTCCACTTTTAATCCCAGCCCTAAGCCAAGCCCTGCTGAGCTCGCTGGAAAACATCAGGCAGGGTTTATCCTCGAGACTGGGACCCGAAAGGCTGCGCGATGCAGAGGGGCAGCTCCTCATTAAGGAATAAACCCAAGATTTGCTCATTTTTCCAGCATCAGCCGCGCGTGAGGGCTGGGGATCTCTCTAAAATGGTTGAAGGTGTCACAAATCGGGGAGCGAGGGTTGTTCCTCATTAGCTCTAAGATTTAATTAAGCCTTAGATAAGTGACTTAAACAAATACCGGGTATTTAACGCCCACAGGACAGCCTGGACAAGGCACCCGGACGCAGAATATAAGAGAGGGGAAACCCGGTGATGCCCCATTGCACCCCAAGCTTCTCATTAAGTTTTAATTACCTCTCTCCTGACTCACCCCCACTTTGCTGCACGCTATGCCGGGTAATTATGCCTAAACAAAGCCGCACGCTTCCCCAGCCATCTCCAAAAGGAACTGGAAAGGTTGGAGGCTGCTTCTGTTGTCACCCCACCAGATCAGGGGGCACCGTGTGTCCCACACCACCACGTCAGTGCTGTCCCCCCACTGCAAATGCCCCACGCAGCAGCATGACGGGGGGGCACCCCATTCTGCAGCACCCCCAGGGTGGGGGGCATAGAGGGCTACCCTGAACCCATGGCCGAGAAGGTTTGGGTGCTGGAGGATGCAGTCCCAGAGCCCGAGGTGAGGGGAGGACACCAAGACAAGAATTGGGGTGGGTAGGGGGACACCCTGAGGCCCCAGTGAATTTGCAAGGGGTGCACCGTGCAGGGACAGCATTTAGGGAACGGTGCATGCCCTCCCCTCACCAGCACCCCAGAAAAAGGGGCAGGGGCACCCTCCCAGGAGAGCACCTGAGGGAGGATTGGGGGAGCACCCTGGGGAGGGGGCAGGGGACTTGAGGGGTGCACCCCCAGGTCAACCTACAGGGCAGAACCCGCAGGGGGGTGGCAACCCCGGGGCCGGGAAAGTCTGTGAGGGCACTCACCTCCCAGCCAAGAAAATTTTGGGGGGTGGCCCCAAGGATTTAGGAGGGGAGCCTCGAGCTTTAGAAAATGGGGGTGCGTCCCTC